AAAACCTGCCCAAACCAGCGTTTCTCTAATGAAGGTCCACGATAATCTGCCGTAAGCCTTTTCGAGATCCAGCTTGATGGCCATATAGCCCTTTTTCCCTTTGGTTTCCCACATGGTGTGCATGACTTCTTGGTACACAATCACATTGTCCGAGATCTACCGCCCTGGGACACCTTCATTTTCCACAGGATATCACAGACTGCTCTCCACAGAAAAGTCTTCCATTTTGGGGGCACCTTCATTTTCCACATATTAGTCCATCTATCAAACCCTCCTGACATATGCTCATAATTACCCATGATACTCCCGTAGGCGTTCTTTACTGTATAAATTCCATTAGGGTCCCCAAGCCAATACCATGAGTCATCCTAACCAGGACTTACAGAGATCCTGAGTATACGATTGACATCCTCAGTATTAAATAAATCTGACAAGATATGGGGATCCCACATATTAGTCTGGTCATAAATGCACCACACAGTGTTCGAGAATACACCAGAATTAAATGCCAAAAAATGCACCACACAAAAAAAAAAAATGCACCACACATAATGGTGTATTTTCGAACACTGTGTGGTGCATTTATGCATACCTAATGGTGTATGCCGCACTGACCGCACGGGAAGACCTGTTCTCACATGAACCTGACCCTATATATATATATATATATATATATATATATATATATATATATATATATATATATATATATATATATATATAGAGAGAGAGAGAGAGAGAGAGAGTAAATACCTAAAATGGTCCCTCGATTATAGCTAAATTCACAAATTGATCCTCGACTTTTAATTTCAACCAATTAAGTCCTTAACTTTGCAATGTAATTGAGATTTGTTGATTTGAAGTCACTAAATTGAAAATTTTCAGGTTAACATAACTGATTTAATTTAGAACAAATTGCACTTTTGGTCCTGTGAGTATTAGGGTATTGGCAATTTGAGTACATGACTTTCAAAACTCCCAATTTAAACCTTTAACTATGCATTTTTTGGCAGATTTGGTCCTCCGGACCAAATTGCCGGCCAATTTTGGCCAAAAAATGATTTAATGGTTCGAATTATTTTGTGATTAGGGTAAAAACGTCATTTCACTCCCTTCTTCTTCATTCTCCCTTTCTTCTTCTTCATCCTTAACCTTCACAAGCAACCCACCCTTCATCCTAAGAGTCAAAGACAACACAAAATCAGGAACCTTTCCCTTCTCCTCCGATAACACATCAATCTCAAACCTCTCCAGAATCGAAACCGCAATGGATTTCATCTGAATGTACGCCATTTCCTTCCCCAGACACATTCTCGGCCCGCCGTGGAACACCGGAAACTGGAACGGACTTTCCTGCCTGTACTCCCCATTCTCGTCCAACCACCTCTCCGGCTTGTACTCGCAGCAATCTTTCCCCCAAATCTTCTCCATTCTCCCCATGGCGTACGTGTGATACGTCGCGAACCACCCTTTTCCGATGAACGTGCCGTCCGGCATGACGTCATCTTTCAGGCAGGCCTTCGTGTCCACCGGCACCAGCGGGTACAGCCTCATTGCCTCCGAGATCGCCGCCTGCAGATACTGCATCTCTCGCCGTCTTTTTCGATGTCTTTTAGGATGTTTTGTTCCACGTCCGGCCATGATGATAGTAGCCAGAAGAACCATGTTAGTGCCGACGATGACCGGAGATTGATCGCTCCGGTGCCCAAGCACGAGGACTACACCAGCGAAGAGGACGAGGCGCCGGCCGGTGATCGAACAATTAAAAGACGTAGAACTTTCTTCTTCGGCCGGTGATCGAACAACTTTCTTCGTTCTTCTTCTTCTTCACCGCATTATGGCCAAATGATCGAACAATTAAAAGACGACAAGTATTGCATTTCAATACGATCAATTGGGTAGTTGAATGCGTTGATTCCATTTGGCCATTAATATGATTCCATTTGGCCATAATGCGGTGAAGAAGAAGAAGAACGAAGAAGAAAGGGAGAATGAAGAAGAAGGGAGTGAAATGACGTTTTTACCCTCATCACAAAATAATTCGAACCATTAAATTATTTTCCGGCCAAAATTGGCCGGCAATTTGGTCCAGAGGACCAAATCTTCCAAAAAATGCATAGTTAAAGGTTTAAATTGGAAGTTTTGAAAGTCACGTACTCAAATTGCCAGTACCCTAATATTCACAGGACCAAAAGTGCAATTTGTTCTTTAATTTATCAATATTGCACCAATGTTATGTCTCACCTCAGAATCATGCCTCACGTTGTGTCTATTTGCACGCCCACGTGGATACTCTGCTTATTCCTAGCCACACCTCCACTCAATGCACCCAACTTTTGACCTCTCAACTTCTTCGTCTAAGGCCCTAAACATCTCTGATTGACATAAGGTTTAATTATTCATTGGACCCAAGCCGAATATCCACATTACAAGTTTCTCACTTCTTCATGTTATAGTTAGAGTTAATTCCAGCAATGGTCCTCCGACTATAGTGGTTTTCCAAAATTAGTCCTCGACTTTTAATTTGGACACTTTAGGTCCCTTGACTTTCAATTTCTTTCCAATTGAGGTCCTTTCGTTAGAATACGACTCATTAGACTTTAAATGAAGGGGTAAACTCGTCCTTTCACCTGCCTATGCATTATTCTTCGTATTTCTCCCTTCGTTTTTTCGCTGTTATACCTTGTAAACATCTCAATAATAGAGGAACGCACACACGAGTAGTCAGCAAATGGGGAACGACGAGGAACATTTTAGGGTTTCGACTAAGATTATCTTCATATATATCGCGTATACAATGGAGAAATACTAAGAATAATACATAGGCAGGTGAAATGATGAGTTTACCCATTCATTCAAAATTTAATTAACCGTATTCTGACGAAAGGACTTCAATTGGAAAGAAATTGAAAGTTAAGGGACTTAAAGTGTCCAAATTAAAAGTCAAGGACTAATTTTGGAAAATCAATATAGTCGGAGAACCATTGCTGGAATTAACTCTTATAGTTATTACTAGTTTTTTACGCGCATTGCGCGATTGAGATAATGCCCAATATTTTTTTAAATAAGTATTTTAAAGTTTATCAATGCAAGATTATATTGGAATTGTTCATGCATAGATAATTGAATGTTAAATTTGTGTATTTAAATAGGCAATTCTAAGTTTACAAATGCAAGATAATATAGTCAAGATTGATTATAGTTGTCAATAAAATAATTGTATAGGTATGGTTGAAACCAAATACAGGACATAAGGGAGAGAAAATAAAAATTAGGGCATAAATTATTAAATACTCCGTATATACTAATATTGAAGAGCTAACTACTGATTGCCAAACAAGGACATTGCGAGATAGTTTCTCACTTCAATTTGTTGTGTGCTTTGAATACTCTTTTTGTCAATAGATCTCCCAAGTAGTTAATATGATTGACGTAATTATATTTTTTATTTTTTTATATTTTTAAAACAATTATTATTATTACTATTATTATTATTATTATTATTATTATTATTATTATTATTATATCATCATACCCTTAGGTCATTTTACATGTTAATCTAAACAGCTAATTTTTTCAAATATCTTTTTACCAACCATTGATATAATTCGCTGGTCAAATTCGTTAATATAATCCGCTAACGCTAACCACTAACTGCTGATTGTCAAACAAGGATATTGTGAAGTTGTTCTCACTCTTTGTCAACAAATCCTTCAAGTAATTAATATGATTACCTTTATTAATTATATTTTTTTAATTTTTTCATGGTATTAATAAAATACTTGGTAAATAAATATATAGCATTATTTTGTATTCTAACTTTGATATTTAATTAAAAAAAATAGTGCACAAAAAAGGTAATAGACAATGTGTGAATATAATCAATTGATGAATTTGAATGTAAAGAATTTTTACATTGGAGAAATATAAAGACAATATAACTAATAAAATTATTTCTCTTAATTAATTTATTAATAATGAATTTTTTTTTTAATAAAGACATTGTAGGGACAATGTAGCAAATATAATCAATTGATGAATTTGAATATAAAGAATTTTTATATTGGAGAAAAATAAATACAATATAACTAATGAAATTATTTCTCTTATTTAATTTATTGATAATGAATATTTTTTTTTGAATAAAGGCATTGTAGACACATCATTCTAAATTAAAAAATGATATGTATTAATTTGTATTGTAGCTACTAAATTATTATTTTTAATTAATTTAATAAGAGTAAAATAGAGTACTAATTATGCCAACTTTGATTGGGATGAGGTTCGAACCTAAGACCTTTAAATTCTTATTAAAATCAATGAGTAAGTTAACGGTGAACTAACAGAAATTAACGGAAAATATAATATTTAACGGAAAAGTTAACAGAAAATCACATTCATTAAGGATAAATTAGGAAATCTTAAAGAAAAATTAAAATCTGATCAATCTGAGCCATTCATTTGATTAAAAAATTTGACCGCCATTTTTTCTACCCATTATAGGCCTAACTCTCTTGGGCTCTTATTAGTATATATATATATAGTAGATATTATGTATTACATGAAGAAGTAGAGACCAATAGCTCTAGACATCCACTATAATGTTTTTCTTGTAGCACCCCTAGCACAACAATTGTAGTGCTCAATACCATTCTCTCATCCCCTAGCACAACGTTGTATCCTTTACTCATTTTCCTCCATCATTGTGGCTAATCATAATTCGCTCATGGTATGGATAAATCTATACACTACCACTCTTAAGACTGTCACATCAAGCATTACTCTATTACTTAGAGACAAAGAGTGATATATCTTGGCCTATACATCTATCCTCACTTGTGAATGAAATAACCACTTATTCACTACCTTGCTCCCCACTTTTTTTCCCCTTATTTGTAACCACTTTCTTCTTTCATAAGTAAAAATAAAAATATTACATTGCTTTTCTCCCAACACACATGGCAATGCAAACAAAAGAAACTTATATAATAGAAGTATCATTGGATACAAGGAAACAATAACATAATGAAAACACACATCCATGATGCTAGACTAATACTCTAGTGGAAAATCCATACAACATGAATTTCATATTCAAACTTCTAGGGACTTATTCATATCACTTGAAGATGAAACATCAAACTCTTCGATATGCACATAACCAAGCTCAGCTTCAATTCTTTTATTTGCATTTTCAAAAGCTTCCTCACAAAACTGTCTAGCTACATTGTTGTCTTGACTAGAAACAATCAATCTTTGAAATTTCCTAGTCATCTCAACAACCCAAACGGAAGGAGCAACACCAAGTAGATGTCTGTGTGAACAAAGCTGATTATTTCTCACTCTTCTATCAGTTCTATGTGAACGAAGTAGATGTCTCTTGTCTGAAGCGCATAACTCATGATTGTGCCCTTTCTCATGTCTTGTAACTGTCCACACCCCATTCCCATCTACACCAAACTGAACAAATGCACCACATCCCGTCCTTAAATCAATTTTTGAATAAGCCTTAACAGTGTTTACCTTAACCTTATAACCGGCCTGAGAACAGTAAAATCTCTTCATTTTAATTGTGTTAGTAGAACCTTTATAAAGTTGTTTACCCTTCCTCACACTAAAACCAACTCTATAAGCATAATCGTTATACAACTCATAAGCTTCATCAACATTATTTACTGAAACTCCCACCAAATCTTGATCAGCTGCAAATATAAAATATAACATCAAGTATAAGAATAACAACAAAAAAATTAAAATCAATTTGATGGAAATATAATTTCTAAGTAGAAGGAGAATGTAGAATGCCTAATAAATTCAGTCATGCTCTATAAAAGAATAACATTTCCATGAAATTGACACAACTAATAAAAATGAGCAAATAAATATAAAATATATTCACTGCAACTCTGTTACATAAACATAAAATCAATGCAGAATATTCACAAAATTAATGCTAAAGTTACACAAAATACACCCATAATCAATGTAAATCATAATTCTAACAGCAAATTCATTGCACTAACAAGTAACAACACAAAAATAAAATTGAATTCATAATCAACATGAATTTCTAATTGACTGTGAAAACCAGAAGAAAAAAAAACCTGGAATTGAAGACGAGCCATCAATGTTTAAATCTGCCTGATCTGTACTTACTAAAACACCCACCAAATCTTGATTGACTGCAAATATAAAATATAACAGAGTAGCAGTGAACATTGTGAATATTGAGTTCACAAATTGTGAATATTGAGCTTGCAAATTGTGAACATTGATTTTACAAGCTGTATTTAACACAATAATTGTAAACATATAATTCTGTCATTAATTGTCAATAAAAATTTTACAAAAATCACATACATTGTAAATAATCAATGTAAATCACAAATTCAATATTTGAAAACACGAACATGAATAAATAATAATTCTAACAGCAAATTCATCACACTAACAACATAAAAATAAAATCGAATTCATAATTCATCTCCATACACGCTGAAACCAGAAAAACCATAATCAACACAAATTGCTAATTGATTGTAAAAACTAGGAAAAAAACCTGGAATTGAAGACGAGCCATCAACGTTTAAATGTGCATGATCTGTTGCCTCCTCTATCAATGAAATCAAAATTCAAAATCAGAAGAAGAAGATACACACACACAAACATAAAAAACAAAAAACAAAAAAAAACAAAAACAAAAAAAAAAAAAAAAAAAAACAACAGATGTGAACTTGCAAAGAGAAGTTAGGTTTGAAGAAAAAGATAGATGTGAACTTGCAAAGAGTAAACGTTGTTTAAACAAAATAAGAGTGAATTTTTTTAAACTAAGACGGTGTAGTTTTGAAGTAAAACGACGCCGTTTTGGACCCGGGTCCACAGAATAATTTGTCTGGTCTGCTTGTTAGTTTAAGATATTAAGTTCGGTAGAAGGCATGAGGTCAGAGTTTTCTAAGCTAAGTAAAGCGATAGAGCAATTACCAAAAGTTGCCCAAGTCCCCCCTTTTAGCAATTAATGCAGTATTTATAGGAGACAAGGGGGAACAGGTACCTGTCTAACGGCATGTGCGGCACGTGGCAACCATGCACGGGCTGAGATGGGTGGGCGGGGGGGGGGGGGGGGGGGCCACGCCAAATAGGCTTGAGCACGTGTCCAAAAATTCCTGATTTTATTGGGTATGATGTCACCAGGTTCGGCTAAGGGAACCAGGTCAGTAGGACGATTCCGACCTAATTAGGTCGGAACGAAACGATTATTATAGCGCTTACATCTAGGTGCCTATCGCTGAGCTAAGTAAGAATTTAGGTCGGGAAGGCAAGCGCACCAGGTCTTGCAGACAATAGTGTTCTCACTTTGGGAGAAGTAGCTGCCACCTGACAGGCCGCTAAATGCAATGCAGCATCTGAAGAGGAAATCTTCAGCTTGGTTGGTTTGACACCAAGTTTTTGTCTACATCCTACAGCTCCACAGTGGCAATCCTGATCTGCACCAAATTGTACAAACCTGCTACACTTTTTAGACAAACATACAAGGACATGCTTTGAAAAGATAAGGGTACTGACTTGTGATGTTTACAGAAAAAAAATGAAAACATAATAATAATAATAACAATAATAATAATAAAATCACCCCTACTGATAATCATAGCTCAGATGTTCTCCCTTTTTTATGTCACACGTTGCAAATATGCCTACTCTTGTTTCACCATCAATCGTCCTAAAAGACAATGCCATGTAAGAAATTGAAAAAATAAAAATAAGAGTTCCAAATATACCAGACATGAACATATATACAGAAAAGAAGCATACCACTTCTGCATCTCGGTATTTGGACAGCAACTATGATTAATGTATCTTGATTTGTTTCCCTTATAAGTTGCATCAATAACCGTATTCCGATTAATTTCACACAAGTAAAAATTAGTTTCCCCAAGGTGTTTCATTTTCCAAAGTCTCTCTTCACATGTCTTATCATCAATAACTGCAACAAATTTTCTCTAGGTTAGTGAAAAATACTCTCTCCAGAATATTAATTATGCTTTCAACAATATATAAAAACTGAATCTCTCACCTTCCCCAACATATTCTATAACAAACTCTCCTTGCTTAATATCTTCATCTGCAACGATTCCTGATCCACATTTCTCAGTCTGCAAGTTGCATTGGCACAGTTAGACAGTAAACTCGGTAAAGAGGGAAAAAGAAGCTTAATGTTTGCAGATATTTAAATCTATTAAAAATAAGAAATAAATAAAACTATGATAGACTTAAAAAAAAAAAAAAAAAAAAAAAAACTGATATAAATGGCAGAAATAATCTGGCTGCTGGATGGAAACATATTATCATCTATGCCCAGTAAACCAATTTCTCTGACCAATCCTTTTGGATTTATAGATATAAGAAATAATAATGTCAGAGACTCAGAATACGTATCTGCTGGATAATTTGTGTGTGTGTGTGTCTGTGTGTTTTCTGTTAAATTCTTCCAATTCCTAAAACAGCATCTGTTCAAGAATTGAGGATGATGAATGCATGGAATTATACTTGCTCTGCAAACTTTAAGGATTTAACATTTGACTGCTCTACAAGGGTTAGATCCTTGTAAATGTCCAGGTAAAATAAACTGAACAAAAAACAGGATTTAAAGGATATGGATCTAACATGCCATTAATAAAAGTTGCTTCTGGTAACACCCAAAAGTACGTATACCTTCACTATTTTCATCTTCTTGGCAGGACGTTGATGGAAAGGTTTATTGAGGCATGAACCTCCACATTTACATCCCGATGAGCAGCTAGACATTAGCATGCTGGTAGAATATAATAAACAAATAACTAATCATAAATGGAAGAAGAAAATGAATATTAATATATATTTTCAAATAGCAAAGCACACATCCTCCTCAACTAACTTAAAGAAAAATATCTCATCAGACTAGATTCAATATTAATGGGAAAGGGGGAAATGAAAGAATCATCAAATCAAACTAGGATAAAATTAAAGTATGGTTTGATTTTAGAGTGTTCCTAAGGATCAAAACCGAGGAGTTACGTGAAAGTGTGAAACCTAGTTTCAAATGTCATATATTATTTTCAAACACCAGACTTACAACTGAAATTTAATCTATTGAGTCTCGGTGTCTCACCTGCAGAGGCAATCCCTACCGCACACATCAGAAGATCCAGCCACTGAGTTGCAGGAACAAAATAAGCCATCATCTTCCAAACGCCTCTTAATCCTCTTAGTGAGATATATATCTTAATTAGTTAACAAAGAAACAGTACACAAAGGATGGAGCAGAGCTAGCCATAGAAAGAGGAAAAATTTTCAACTCAAAGATAAAAACCAAACACTTAGAAATAAAGATTACTTGAATAGAAAATACTTTACATAATGTAATATTACAAGCTATCTAAAACAAAGCAAATCAACTAGTTGAGTAATTGGCAATTTGGTATATTAACTATAATTTAACAAGGATACTGCGTTTTATAAAGGTGTATGGCTCGGGCTGCCACATATTTAGCCAGTCAGGAAGTTCAAAGTCAACAGGATCTCCAATTTCTGTTATCAATTTGCTGAATATGTTAAAACCACTAGTAACAGCACCCTGTTAAGAAATGGCAAAAAGAAGCCATAAGATGTAAGTGAGACATTCATTGGGAAGTGGGAACACATGTATATGGCCAAGCATGACCAGATTAACAGCATTGAAAAATAAATGAACATGGAAACTTGCCATAGTGTAGTTTAAGGAAGAAAAACTAGAAAAGTATCGAAGGTATAAACAAAAGGCTAATCCAAGCTTAAAATAAAATAGAAGTGACTTAGGTGTAGGAATCAGATATAGACAACATGCAGATTTCCTATAAGATGCCCATGTACTTTTGAGAATCCCTGTGAAGTAACCATGTCTGCTAGATATGTGCCCAGTTTTTGTCTAAATATTCTATATCACGTCAAAATTCAGGTCCTAAAATACAAATTTTTGTTATTGGTTTATCAACTTTCAGAACAGAAAATGTCAATGCTAATATGACATAACTGAAGAGTACCACATATGACAAATCTCATATTAAAGTAAATGGTAACAGGAAAAAATAGATCTATTAAAAGAACTAGTCCTGTGAAAAAGAATCCATGTCTAGAGAGAGAAATATATTTTGTAACATTTTAAAAGTGCAGTTTTCCTAGCTAAAAATAAAATAGAAGTGACTTAGGTGTAGGAATCAGATATAGATCTCCAACATGAAGATTTCCTATAAGATGCCCATGTACTTTTGAGAATCCCTGTGAAGAAACCATGTCTGCTAGATATGTGCCCAGTTTTTTTCTAAATATTCTATATCACGTCAAAATTCAGGTCCTAAAATACAAATTTTTGCTATTGGTTTATCAACTTCCAGAACAGAAAATGTCAATGACAATATGACATTACTGCAGACTGCCACATATGACAACTCTCAGATTAAAGTAAATGGTAACAGGAAAAAATAGATCTATTAAAAGAACTAGTCTTATGAAAAAGAATCCATGTCTACAGTATAGCCTACAGTAGGCTTAAAGGCAATTACAATGATAAGTACGTATTGCCTACAGTAGTAATAAACGTCAGTCCATAAAGGAGGAGTAAATAGACACATAATACAGCTTCAAGCAATTCAAATGATCTCTTTAAAATATTATAACACTGTTAGATGTTCAATATTTGCAGACAAGAGCATAAAAACCAATCTTTAAAAATCAAGGTCTAAACATTGGATAAGCAAAAGCAAACTTTATTTTCAAAAATAATAATAATAAAGCATCAGGATTACTGAAGCATGTGATTCATTAAAAAATCCAATGTCTTATTCTAGTTTATTGAAATACAAAACTACACAAGCAACTAAGCATACATAATATCAGTCATTTTGACCCAATTTTCTACATAGCCTCATATAGTTGACTATAAATGGTTCCCTAAGTTACCACATTATTCATTGAAACTCAATATTGTAGTTTAAAGTGAGTGGAACACCAGATCACTATACTATGTAAGTTAAATTATTTCAAGAGAATTATAATTTCCTCATTACTTTTTAATTCACCTGGTCAACAACATTTTGAATGATCCAATCTGAAAGGTAACCATTACAGAACACTATAACTATGAACTTACAACACATTTCCTGGAATTACCTGAAAATTTATTCAATCAAGTCATCATTTATCCTGCTACAGTGGTTTCACAATGAGTTTCAGCCCTGTTTTGATGTGCCTAAACACCATAAAGAAATCTGAAGCAACTATTTTACTACATCACATAATTAAATAAATGCACATAAATAATCTAAATTAAAAAATGTAGAAGATAGAGGGATCTCATAATTCCGGCCGTCATGAACAAATGACCAATTATGATTCAACCGTACTTCAATTTCAACAATTGCGCCCAATAACCAAAAGTGAGCATCACGGTGCATGTGTTGCAGACTTCTAATACCTAATGCTGATTATAAGTCTAACATATTTTAAGAACTTAAACTTCAACACAACTTCAAAAACGAAGAAAACAAAATCTTAAACGAAGATGAAGAATTGAACTCGAGAACACTACAAACCACGAAAGAGTTAAGCAATTTGAAAATTGGCCCTCATTTGATGCTGAGAAATCGTAGAATGAAAAATACTGGAAAAATTTTGGATCTGAGTTCCCAGAAAAGGAAGTGAACTAGCCTTCAACCCTAACAACGATAAATGACAGAAGAAAAATAGGAGAAAGTAAGGAGAGAACGAAGAAGAAGAAGATAATTACCCAGTGAGTTGCCCCGGTTGAGCAGTTAACTCCTAGAGTCCTAGGGAATGGAATGAACGGGAGGATGGAAGTAGTGAAGTACGGACACAGAGGAGAGAGGCGCGGTATGGAGATTTTTGGATGTTCGGTTTGATTTCGCATTTTATAGCGAGTAAAAATAAAATTTGAGCAAATACCAATTTCAATTTCACGAGTATTAATAAAATGACGATTTTGATCCACATATTTTATTTCTATCAATTTTCATCCACAATTATTATTTTAGTACCAATTTTAATCCACGACTATTATTTTAGTACCAAAATTCATCACGTCGTTCACCCATTTATTTAAGACATTCAAAAATCTAAAAATTTTAAGGGCATTTTCGTCCTTTTCAACTTAAAATTTCAATTTGAGCATAAATTAATTAATTTAAGCCCTAAGATCGATCTTAATTTGCAGTTCTCCTCATTATCCTACCTTAATTTGAGGAAAAAAATTACGAATTGGGATAGATCTTAGGGCTTAAATCTCTTTATTCATGCTCAAATGGGGATCCTAATTTGAAAAGCGCGAAACTACCCTTAATAATTTATATTTCGGCATGTCTTAGACGAATGGGTGACCGACGTGATGAATTTTGGCACTAAAATAATAATTATGGATGAAAATTGGTACTAAAACAATATTCATGGATGAAAATTGGTAGGAATTAAACATGTGGACCAAAATTGTCATTTGTGGGACCAAAATTTGTATTTGCTCAATAAAATTTAGAGTAAATTTCAATTTTGATCATGTAACTATAAGTGTCATGTTAATTGTACTCTATGACTTTTAAAAGTGTTAATTTAGTATCTTGATTATGTAAATTTATCAATTTTGATCACTCCGATCAAATTATCGGTTAAATATCGCCAAAAAAAAATTAATTAATCAATTAGTGTTTAATATGAGTGGCAAATTCGTCTTTTGAACTATGGTCTGAATTAAGCAAAGTCAGTTTTTAACTCGATTTTTCTGGTGAAATTTGGCAGCCAATTTGGCCGGAGTGGTCAAAATTGATAGAAATTGCATAGTCAAGGTACTAAATTAACACTTTTGAAAGTCGTGCACTGCAATTAACATGATTCCTATAGTCACAGGACTAAAATTGAAATTTACTCTAAAATTTAAAAATAAAATAAACAAAAAGGGTAAGAGTAAATACCAATTTTAATCTCACGAGTACTAGCAAAATGACAATTTTGATCAACATGTTTAATTCCTACAAAAACTCATCCCATAACTATTATTTTACTACCAAAGTTAATCACTCGGGTCACGGAGATGTTAAGGACACGCCAAATTCTTAAAAAGATAAGGGTATTTTTTTCCTTTTATTATTAAGATCAAAGTATTTACTGAATTGCCATTAAACTTAATAGTCTAATAATCTGCCGATGCATTTCATACCCTAATCCTTAATCCTTCATCCCTCCCTAATCAACCAGCAAATATTGCGACCCCATTTTCTACAGCATGTCTATTAAACTTTACACTTAGAAATTCAGCGGGAACTATAATTAAATAAACTGAGAATAAAGGTGGGTTGGGTCGGTATAAGCATTTCGGATACGGATCGGGTCAGAACCCCTTTTGTCGGTTTGCGTCTCGGGCGAAATTTTCGGGTGGGTCGGGTCTTGCACACCCCTACTTATAATACACAAGTCCCACGAATTAGTAGTCTAATCAATCAACCCGGATACCTTTGGAACGTGCAAATTTTGGGGAATAGGGGTATGTATCATTGGGTCTAAATCATCTAATAGCCACGAGTAACCCCATATTAACGTGGAATTTCCATCATCAATTTTTCTTTAAACTCCACCACATACTAACTCGTGGGCAGCCATAATACTTCTCCAACAATAACTTGAGTTATTTCCTATAGTAACATCAGTAAAAGTGGTTTTATGAAAATACCTTACTTTATAAACACGAGCAACTAGGGACTGAGGTTTTGTGAGGAAACGACATGCCTATTTTCCCAACATAGCTAAATTGAAAGCACGTAGGTCCTTGAAGCCCAAACTACCAACACTTTTGGGTTTACATAAACGATCCAGGTCATATAGTGAATGCCCCTACCATTTTCACCTCCCGAACCCCACCAATAGCAGTTCATGGTCATTTCCTTTCAATAGCAATACACAGGAAATCAGTTAGTTAGAAAACGCTCATAGAGAAAATAGACATAGCTTGTGCCACATTTTAAAGTAGTATTTCCTTTCCTGCCTGTGAAAATTATTTCTTATTCAATGATCCAATCCTTTGTTTGATCTTTTCCTCAATATAGGAAAATGCTAGCCTCTTATTTTTCTCAACAAAGGAGGGTAAACCTAATTATTTACCAAAATCTAATGCCTGAGCTACACCCAATAAATTAACAACACACTATACTCCACCATTGTATTCCTGTTAAAACACACTAGACTTATGATAATTAACAGTTTGACTTGATAAGAGCTCATAAGTATGGAGAAACAGTTTTACAACGCCAGCCTCCTGCAAATTTGCTTTAAAGAACAACAGACTGTCATCTGCAAATAAAAGATGTGAGATAGTTGGGGCAGTTCTAGCCACTCTACAACCATGAATATTACCTCGAGTCTATGCATTATGTAATAAGAGAGAAAGGTCATCTACACAAATAATGAACAAATAGGGAGAAAATGGATCACCCTACTTGAGCCCACGTGTTGGCATCTTGCCTCCCTTAGCCCCATTAACAAGAATGTTATATGAGACAATCGTAACACACAACATTACTAAATCAATCCATTTTTCTACAAAATATAAAGCCCCAACATATTCCTCAGGAAAGAACACTCCGTTTTATCATAAGCTTTAGCCATATCCAACTTTAGAGCACCTCACCCAACTTTTCCACACTGCTTATGTTGAAATTTTTAGCTAAAATGGCATTTTTGAGTGGTTATTTTGTGGTACAAATATATGTGAGGTCCACTTCCAATTTGGATCGGGTCAAAATGGATTGCACTCTTCATAGTGAAATGAAAATTTTGATATATTGTACGCTCAAAATGAGTTATAGGTAAATGAGAAATTTATTCTCAACGTGAACCTATTTGAGAGAAGTCGAAATCACAAAGTAAGGATAATTATGTTTAGCATTGGGCGAGTTGTTAATCAAGCACTAGATATTTTATTTAACAATTCGTGGATTTAGATTAATTTGTTAAGCTAATTAAACCTAAAGAGTGATTAAGCTTAATTAAGGATTAAGGATTGGGAATTTGGGTTTGTAAACACGGCTCGTGCTTTTAGCACAAATTGTGCAATTGTTGCTTTGGCATCAATTCGTGCTGTGAATAGTTATGCACGATTCGGTGTGCACGAGTCGATGCTATATGCATCGATTCGTGCTGCACCGTTTCAGTGTTATTTGTATTATTTGAGTGCGATTTTTGGTTTTAATTCAAAAATTTTTGAGTTTGTACGGACTTCTCAGCCACTTATGTATTTTGAAATCGGTCAATATGATCGGTACGAATTAATTGTATATTAATTTCGTGACCGTTGATATTATTTCGATAATAAGTATGACCGTTTTCAAACGTTATAATCCTATTATTAAATTGGATTTATGTTGGATATAAGTGTCATTTAATATGCTAATTATTCATTTTCTTCCTACAAAAAGCTTGTATGTTGGCAGATTGGTATGCCATTGATAAGTGCCAATTATGCTATGTTTTGTAGGGTATTTAGTAGGCATATTGTGTTATAAGTGGAGTCCTTTAAGCTTAATTCATGCCTAAAATAGCTTAAATTGATAGAAGTTAGGATTAAGGACTAATTGTGATTGCCTTTGTAGAAAAGAGCAAAAATATTGTCATTTATAGGGCATTTCGGCGACAGTTCGGTAATCGGAGCATATATCGAGTTAGGAGTGTCCAAATAAGGTGATTTAAGTGGCTATGGTTCGGTAACTTCAAGGGCTACAACTTTGCAGAAGACAAGAAGGGCAAATTCCAATGTACGCACTCCCACATGCATTGTAAAGTTTGTTGTCGAGAAACCAAAAGTTCAACGAACCCGACAACACGCGTTGTTGGGTGCGTTGGACGGTCATTTTGTGAAAATTTCAGCCTTTTTCCTATTTAAAGGTCTAGTTGCGAGGCTACTTCATGATATATCATTTTCTCCCTTTAGAAATAAGATTTTAGAGTTCTTAGATTAGGGTTAGATTAGATTTTCATTTCATCCTTTAGCATAGATTTCCATTGTTATAGCTTGGAGACTCTTTGACCTACATTGCTTCAAGGATTACAACACTAGAGATTGAAGACTTGGGTGACATTTCTTCTCCTTGTTCATATTTCATATCTAATGTGTGTTTGTGATCTATTGATGATTATGTCTTGCTATAATTCTAGGATTTGGATTGAGATTGGATTTAGATTGTGATTTTATGCTTTAAATGAATGAATGATGAGATTGCTATGCTTCTATGTCTTGTAATTATGGATTGATTTGTATTAATCCAAGGAGCTAGGCCAACTCCTAGGATTGTGTTGAGTGAATGACCTTTGCTAGGTCAATTCAAGCTCACATCCTTAACATTTCCTAGCTCAAGGGATCCTATGGGACTTGGTTGGGAAGGTAATGTAGGCAATGTATTCGAGGAGAGGTTTAGGAAAGTCCTAAACAAGTCCTAGTAGTCTATGTTATGAAAGGACACAAGTCATTCCCTAGACTTGGCATATGCATCATTCTTTCCGTAGGTCAAGTGATTTGAGTGCATCATAATCCACACTAAGCAATTCAATCTCGTCCAAATCCTCGTTTTACCTTTTTAGCCTTACTTTGTTTAGTTTATTTTCTTAGTTTCCCATGATTGTACAAACCACCTAATGTACTCTCCTACTTGCACCTAGTACACCTTGTTGACACATTGTGACAATTGATTGTCTTGCACTTTGCTTGTTCCGATTTGCCATCCTTGAGTTCGACACTCGGGAGTTCCACACTTCCGTTTACATACCTTCCACCACACTAAAACTACACCTATCACCCATTTCTGCACTCCTCAAAAATTATTGATTTTTCTCTCCACTGTCAACTCTTGTTTTGCTACAAAGGAAAATTTCTGC